AGAAGAAGAAAAAAAGAAGCAAGAGCGCCGAATGTGCTAAATCGAGAGAGAAGCCGAAACATCCCACTTGTGCAAACAAAGGAAAAAAGCTTAGCAGTCTGATGAAATGCTTGTGTGAAACGCCCGAGAGACAACCGGATTACAAGAGGGATATTTTGCATGCAAAAGACAGGGAAGAAGCAAGGTAAAAAAGGGATAGGCCGTTGGGTGTGGTTAGACCGGCTGAACCACAGCTTTTGGGCAACAACAACAACACCCCCGAACGCGCACGCTAGTAAGACAGGGAGATAGGAAAAAGAGTTGTAGTGAAGGACTCAGCAAGGTGTGAGCCTGCTGGAGACGTTCAGGTCGCGGAGCATGTCAAAAGACATGCCGTCGACGTTGACGCGCTGCTGTGACTCAACGTACACGTCGTGCACGTTGGAGAAGGCGTTGCCCTCCCAGGGCGATACAGCAGTAAGCCTCTTGTTGTGTGGGTGTGGTGGTGTGACTGCCGCGATGACAGCCTGCTTCATCTGCGGGGTGATGGCCAGGCGCTTGCAGTCAAAGTACGAGGACGACGACACCGAAGACGACGTATACGAAGGTGCTGACGTCGAGGTGAGCTGAGGTTGCGAGGGGCAAGACGAAGAGGGGTAGTCGGCGACGTCCTCGTCATCATCGTGTTCTTCCTCAGGTGAGGAACGTGGTAGTGCTGACGGGTCAGGAAACTTGAAGGCTTTAGCCGTAGTGGGCTCTGACTCTTCCTCTAGCGGCGTCGACGAAAATAGAAACGACGAATTGTGGTGCGAGGTCTCGTAGTAGCCTAGGATGGACGGCGTGAAGTTGCTGCCCTTGGAGTTGGGGCCTTGTTCACTGGAAAAGGTATACTCCGGGAGGGGAAGCGCCTCGTCATCCGTGTCGTCGTCGGTGGAGCTCCAGGCAGAGAACTGACTCTTCATCGGCGGTCGCACTGGGGGTATCTCGATGGCCTTTGGTCCATCGGTCTGGCGGCGTGCATTTGGGTTTGGCGACGTCGGCACTCGAGGAAACGATAGATCCGGACACGATCGGGGAGAGAGGGATGAGGTGGGGCGATGGTTGGATTGGTACGTCGGTATTGACTTGAGTTGGTTCTTGATGAAAGCGGCAAGGTTAGCGGAATAGTCGCCTAGCGTGGGTGACATATTCCGAGGTTCGCCATCGTTTACATGTGCGACCACGGTCGAAGTGCTGTTATCCGTGGCATCGGATGGCATGCGAGAGTGAGACCATTTTGCGTCAAAGGGAGATGGTTGATCTTGGGGGGTGGGTAGGGCGGCGAGGCCTTCGAGAAACTTGAGGTGGTCCTGGGGGTTGAAGAGACGGTTGACTTCGTCGTCGACGGACTGGTTGCGTCGAGCTCGGCGTTTCCGGACGGCGGCTCTGCCCTCAGCAAGAATAAGGAGTGCTTCTGGGGTTGAGCAACCCAGAGCCTCAACAATGGGAAACGAGTTACTTCTTTGTCTCTGCATGCTGTGTCGGGGGCTCGCCCTGCGAGGGGATGGCGAAGAGTGGTGGGAGTCCATGGTGTATATTAGTCCGGATAGAGCGGGAGAGGTGCTAGTTCATGGCCGCAGAGCCGCGGAGTGAGTCGATGCTGGGAGCGAGGAGTCCTAAATACACAGTGCAGGTTGAGGGCAGACGTCCAGGGGGTGTTGTGACAGTGCTGGTCCACGGAGCAAAAGGAAAAGAGAGTTGCCGCGTGTAAAACGGATGGCAAGGCTACTTTGAAGCCAGAAAAACGGTCGACGGATCAGGTCAGGATGGCATTAGTGGCCCATCTCGCTTCCCAGGCCCCAGGCAGCCCTAGCCCGACAAGAAAATGCTCTCCTATGGGCCCAAGCCGAAAAGTACGAGTTGGCAGGCAGGCGTACGGGCACATGACGTTTACAGCCCTCGACCAGCGACATGGGTGGGTCTTGCACGGCCTTGGAAAAGCGCACACTCAGGATGAACTATGCTGCACCCCTGGATGGCGTGCACCCATCTGCCGGATCCCGCTGGCGTTTCGCAGCGCTGCCCAATGGGGGCCGAGAGGGCGTGCGGCCTGTCATGCGCCGTCTGCTACCGTCGTGGCAAAGCACCGGAATCTCCGTTTTGCCATGGAGGGTTCGCGTTGGAGCGCCTGATGGTGAGAAAGCTCGCAGCCTGTCAGCGGTGGTGGAGGGCCTGCGCAGACGTGCCGCGACAGCCTGCGTGAACCATCGTACCCACATCAAACGAGGCCTGTTGCGTGAGGTCGTGGTGATCATGATCGACGCTACCCTTGCTTTTTTTCCCTCGCTGTGCTGTTTCTCCAAGGCCTGATCAGCCCTGCCACTGATGCGTTTGGCCCGACGATCTGTCTCTGACTGGCCGCAGCTAAGATAAAAGTGCGATCGATCAGCACTGGCCGCGCAAGCGAAACTCTGCTGTACATGTAAACGGCGGTTCACGTACCCTCGCGTCGTCGTGATGTAGGAATTACACCTCACCTGCGCTGCATACACAGGCGCCCTCGTAATTGTCCGAGGTGGGTGAATGTGCGCCGTGCTAGAGCAGGTACGCCGAAAAAAGAATAACCGGCCCGACTCGAGCAGACGCGACACTGGTCCGAGGCTGAGCAACGCGTTCGCATCACGAAACCCGCGATAGAGTTGGATTTCCAGGGTCCTGAAGAGTCATACCCTCCGTGCCGATGCCATTTGGTCGGATATCCGGTGCCGTGTGGGATTCGATAGGTCCGAGTGTGGCTGCAATACCGTAATCACTGGCGGCCTCCCTCCGATAGCCTCAGCTGTCAGACTGAAACTGTCGCACCGACAATTTACTTTGTACTGCACTCTGCGACTCACTGGTAACCTCGTGAACTCTCATGTCACCCCTCATTTGCTTTTCTCGTCGCCTTGTAAGGCTTCGGCTGCGCCCTGGTGCTCATCTTACCCCCGTCCAAGCGTCGCTTCCTGGCCATGTCGGGCTGTTTCCGCATGCAGCTTTGGTCGCCCGGGCATCAACACCGCATCTTTTTTTTCACGATTGACATCATCACCGCGCTCATGAGTTGCGCGCATGCAGCAGCCTGATCAGCACGGTGCGCTGGATTTGCCCGAACAACTCCTCTGACATGCGAAACCACGACGCCCCGGGCCACCGTCCGAGCCTCGCCGCCGTCGCTACCAAAAGGGCTGCCTGCCCAACGGCGGCGCCTTCCCGGATTGCTTCACTTTCTCGCTGGCACCTTCTTGCATGTCTGTGTCTCCAATTGTTTCACCACCCTCGACGGCAGTAGCCCCGCAGGAGGTATGCCATTGTGCGACAATCCCATCTTCGATCCCCCACCACCTCTCACCACCTCACCATCTACTGCGACACCTACCCGCCCATCTAACTTTGCATCCTCACCCCATCTCACGTAATGCGTTCGACCGCATCCTAGGGCACCATCACCACACCCCGCCGGTCCTTTTTCCTAGAGTCGGCACGATCCGACCAACCCATGCTATTCGGCAATTATATCGCGGGCCTTGTCATTCTCTCGGTGCTACCTCTGCTTTTTATCCTGGCGCGCTTCTACTCAAAGCGCACGCGACTACTGCCATGGACTATTGATGATACGTTTTTGGTGTTGGCCCTGGTACGGCCTGACCCCTTTACAGAAGGCACTCTCTAACCACGTCGGGTAGCTCCTTCTCTACGTGGTGATGGCAATGTTTATTGTTTGCGAGTCGCTCACGTCTGCGATTCATACTGCGTTGCTAATGCGACGAAGCGATGGCTGCTAGTCTTGTCCGTCAACACATGGTGACAGCTGCCACGGCGGATCTCAAGCGAACGCTGATAGTATGACATTCTTGCTGTGGATAACATTCTGGCTGTGAGGCGGGCGCTCACGCTCACAGATACTGTGGCTCTTCCGCCTTCCCCTAGCCATATGCACAGCCTTCACTCGATGCGCGATTCTCATCTTCTTCATTCGGACCTTATACACCAGGACGTACAACTGGCTGAGATACGGTGGTATTGTCAAACCTTACACATCCACCACCATCCGGTATCCACATGTTTATTAATCCAAACCACAGCTCACTTTTGTACCATTGCGGCAATCGCCTTGGGACTAGCGTCTGTCATGGTAATCGCGCTCCACTGTCGACCGATCAAGCAAAACTACACAATACCTTTCGAGGATCCACGCTACTGCTTCCGACTGAAGCCCTGCGTGGTCACCATAGCGGTGCTGGGAGTAGTCCTAGATGCAGTCGTCTGGTGCCTTCCGCACTATGTGGTCTGGCATCTGAAGCTGCGCCATTCCCACAGGGTGGCTGTGTCGGCCATATTCGCATTTGGGTTGTTGTGCGATCAGGGACCATCCTCTCTCAGTCATGGCTAACGTGAGTAGCAACATGTTCATTGGTGCCTTTCGTGTCGACTCACTGGCCGATGTCGCATACCAAGGCGACGTAACGTACGGCATGGGCAACACTCTGATGTGGGCAATCGCCCAGATAAGTACTGGAATCATTGTAGCATGTCTGCCTCATCTACGTCCTCTGTTCGATTGCATTCTGCCACGCCGGCTCATCCACCTCAGCACCCGCAAATCCAAGACTCAATCCAAAGCCTCTCAGGTCTCAGCTCAGTCTGTACTCGTTCCTCCGATCATCCAAAGCAGAGCTGGATCCATTGTTGTCACTACGCAGATCGCTGTTCAGCCCGGTTCGCCAAATCTGTTACCACCTCCACCACCGCCGATAGATATCGTGGATGGGCAGCTTGACCCTTTGGGCCCGATATTCCACGTTGAGCCAGGACCTGCGAAGCGTACGAGGGTAGTGTCATATGATTGTGGTGTGTCGCCGCGTGGTTGTGGCCTTCCTTACTGAGCTGTGGCTGATGTCGTGTTTTCTTACAGATGCGCACTGTTGCATACACTTCGCTTCCTCCCCGCATACCTAGTTTGGTATTTCTCTGGGTGTTTGAAGCCCGACAATATGAGATAGTTATTCTTCAAGTGTTAGGACGTACGTGGACCATCCAGCCGCCGCCAGCTGAATGATTCGCTCGTCCCTCAAAGCTGTGACGCCTTCAAATCTCTTCTTGAAGTCCGCATCCGTTGCTAGACCCAACTGGCCCCTGCTGTTGTCTCCCGCCGCGAACAAAACTCTTTTGACCCTTCCTTCCGTCTTACACGTTTGGGCTGCCACTAGGATGTGGCCATGACCAACCGCTACCTCATACACCTTTGCGTCCTGACCATCTATCCGGACGTCCAAGCACTTGACAAACTCCTCTTGAACGTCATCAGTACTGATGCCCGTTACCAGTGCGCTCGTTCCAGGATTGCCATTCAGCACGTCCAATTCTTCATTTGACCCAGGACATGCCTGACCCCATAAGAAGAGTTCGCCGTCCGAGTTGAAGGCCGCGCTCATGTACCCGCCCGATGCCACCTTCGTGACGTAGGTCATTTCAAGGTAAGGCACGGGCGCAATGTCTAAAGCACCATCATACGGTCGGCCCAAGCACTTCTCATACCTCGGATCCCTTGTCTCCGTCCAAACGTGCCCATCGGCGTCTAGCGCAGTCATCGTCGTAGCATTCCCAACGCACAGCGGGAATTCGCCAAGTTCGTAAGGAAGGACCGTTACTCCGGTCCCCTCACCCATCTCACCGGCCTCAAGATAACGCCGGAAAGCCGCAAAGTCTTTGACCCGCACCACCGACTCCACAGCCGCGGAACGATGCTCAACGTAAACCAGCACATGCCCCTCACTCCCGATCTTCACGTCCCTCACGATCTCAACCTGATCGCTTACGGTGAAAGTTTGTATGTCTGGTACTCCAGTATCCTCGATCTCAACATCGGTACCAAACATGACGACCTTCTGATCCGCTGCTTTCCGGTCGATGTCCTCCCCACTCTTGTCAGTCAACACATACCCCCTCAATCCATCGTGCATCGTGCTACCGAAGAAGATGATCTCGCTTCCATTATCGCGATTTGGACCGAGAGGAAGCGCTCGTCTCAGATCGCTGTCGCTGGTCAAGTATTCTTTCTGAGCAGCCGTGAGGCCTGTGCCCATGTACCGAACGTGTGGTTCCCCAACACCATCACCACTACCACCATTCTTATTCCCCTCTCCATCTCTATTTCCACAATCGACTGGGTTGCTGCAAGCGACCACAGCGTCGCACCAACCCGCCCAAAGCACTCTGATGCTCTGTGCCTGCAAAATACACCCAGTGCTCCCCGCGCTAGTCCCAGGGCGAGCACCCTCGTGTTTCACACCAAAAGCGTACAGCCGCATAGTGCGATCCCGACTGTCTTGTAGCGGACGAACAACAAACAAGCTGTTCGAAACAGAAAGTAGAAACGAGAACGACAGAAGCAACGCGGCCGTTGGGATCTGTAACCAATGTTGTCGATCGTTTACGCCTCTTCCCGTGTCGATCTGCGGGCGGCGCGTGGGGTTGGGTTGGGGGGTGTGGGTGGAGGTGTTACCGTACCAAACATTTACCGTGTCGCGTAACGTGTTGTGACAGATCCATGGATCGGGCCAGATGATCTTAGCGTCGACGCGACGCGACGCGCATTAGAAGATTCGAAGACGCAGGACGCAGGACGCGTTCGTTTATCCCTAGCGTAGGCGCGTACGTACGCGTCCTCCTTCCAAGCTTCTGTTCTGCGGTCGACCCCGAGGTGCCCGCGGAAATCTTAACCTGAGCTCCACACACTGTGCGCTTTGTCTCTGCATGTCTGTGTTTCCATGATTAATCTTAATTAAAGTTGTCAGTTTGGTAGACTTTCGCAAACAACTGTAACAGTGACAGCGCGGGAAGCGGGTCGCGGGAACCGTTTTCTTTACTTTGCGCTTCGCTTCGCATTGCCATTTGAGTTCGAAACATTGCCCATTCCTCCATCGTCGGCGGGTCCCTCAACGCTTGACTGAACTGTGGGATGACGTAGAACGGTGTGTGGGGAAATTGCGATGACACCTGCGGGTAGCAGAGCCTCAGGATAATGTCACTGCGTTAGGTGGCGAACTGCTAATCAAGGTCGTGGACATTGGAAGGGGGGGAAGTTGGAAGGATTGCGTTAGGCGCCCTACTATCCTACTACGTACGACGGCAGACAGCACAATGCCAACCATGTCAATCCATCACGCGCGTGCATCATCATGCAAGATACGCGAGACGACATCCCAATCCCTCAAATCCTTCGACCTATACCAACTGCGTCATCTGCCGCTTATTCTGGTGCTTTCCCCGCAGACCCGCTTCCTTGATCTCGTTTACATTCCACGGAAAGTGGCCTGTTCGCATTCCAAGGTTGACAGGAGGACACGACACGAGACGAGAAAGGAAGGAGCAAACCGAAACCGACGAACCCCTCATCCGGGCCATGAATTGGATTAGACGAGCACCCAATGCCATTTGGTCATACCTAACCGCTGGAAGAAGGAAAATAGCGAGGACTTTGGTACGAGGCCTGCGTAGGTGGACTGCCACCATGAGGCGAAGGTACCTGCATTGATTTCACGTGTTAGCGCTTTATTTCAAGTCCAAATCAGTTTCTTCCCGTTCAATTCGCTTGACATTTCCGTGTCCTTTTCTTCCAATCGCTTTTCTCGGGTCAGGAATTCTTGAGTGTTTTGCTTTTTGCAGGTTCCCACGGAACGTACTGTCGCATCTCCATCCCCGAATTCCCAGTTCGCTGGAAACGAAGGGCCTAACATTCTAACATTCGTACTCTCATACTATCATACTACACGTACCTTCAACCGGCCCCAGTTCAGCAAAACCAAGCGCTTCCAACACCCACGGCGCGACGATAGCGAGGACGCCCAGGGCAATGACGGTGCACATGACGGGGTGTTCGATGACAAAGCCCTCGATGCTTTGGGCGGCTTCCCAGGCTTTGTCGCAGGCGGTGGAGATGGTGGGACCGAGGGCCTCGTGCGACGCGCGGAGAGCGGTGGTGAGTCGCGAGAGGATGTGTTGGGCGAGCGTGGTGCGCCAGCCGGAGGGGCCGACGAGGGCGTCTAGGTGCATGCGCAGGTGGGCGCCGGTGAGGCGGGTGGTGAGGAGTTTTTCGACGACGGAGTCTGCGATCTCATCTGTGACCTCGTCTGTAGGGTGGGTGTTAGAGGTAGCGGCGGAGAGTAAGGCGACTTTCTCGTCGGGGTAAGTGGTGTGCTCCGGCTCCTCGGTGCCGCAGGGGAAGCAGGCCATGATTGCTTGAAGTCGCGCCATTGCCATGTTGACAGCTAGTTTGGTGGTAGTTGGTTGAAGATGGGGTGGTGGTGAGTGCGATATTGATATGTGTTCTGGCTTAGCGCTTGTGGCACTGCTGCGCCGCAGAAGCGGTGATGGTGAGGGTGACATAGAGCAGCCTCGCCCAATCGTTTTTTGAACGCCACAAGTATGCGACGCAGAAGAGTATGGGGAGGTAGGCTGCAAGGCTGCAGGCAAGGCGCACTCTCATCTATTAACAAGCCTAAGGACGATGTGAATGCAGTACAGCAATCTTACCAGATCTTGGTGAGCGCTTCTATCAGGTACTGCCTCTGAGTTGCAAGTCACATTTTGGAGCAGTACATCTCACGAGGATCATTGTCTACGGAATCCGTTGCGCGCTTATGCCCGTACAGTCTGGTGTAGTCTTGTTCTTTTCCAACAGGATCGAGACACAACAACACGTTTATGGCGATCGGTTGCTTGATGTAACACTGGCACGATTCGATGCCTCCAGGTAAAGGTGACGTTCGATGGGATCAAGTTCGCGTACACAGTTGCCATGTTTGTTCCGCTGGGCACTTGCCATGTCGTCTGATACTCTCTTACCGCAATTGGCACCGCTCAGCTGTTCTTACCTTTACTCCATCCTGCAGCACGCTAGAGCAATACAAAGTGAAGTGCAGCTTCTTGATCTTCTAAACATCCATCGTCTTCTCATCGTTCATTTCGAATCAGACGCTTTCATCATTCAGTAAGAGGTCGACTAACACTGACAACTGTCTTCCCCTCGATCGTTGCACGAGATGGGCGGCCATGCCTTCAAAGGACTGTATTGTCCCCGCATCTCCCCATCGGTCTACGAGAGGGTCAAAGCAGAGACGAAAGCCGCGCTGCAGACTGTCTTCGCGCAAGTCGTGGTACCGACTGAGATGCCCGGCAAGGTATGACTACACATCTACCACGCTGCTCACCTGCTGACACCCACAGGATGACTACGGCGACGTCGACTTCCTAGTCTGCTCCCCTCTCCACTTCAAAGGCACCACCACACTCGACACATTCCCCTGGCAAAGCACCGTCTCCCTCATCAAAGACGTCCTCGATACCACACATGGGCGCCAAGGCTTTCTTACCAGAGACTGCATGTACTTCGCCATCGACTCGCCCCACGGCGAAGAGAACTACTTCATCCAGATTGACGTCAAGGTCTGCTTCAAGCCGGAGTTGTTCCACTGGTGTCACTTCGAGCTCAACTACGCAAGTAACAGCAAGATGATCGGCAGTATGGTCAAACCGCTGGGCCTCACCATGGATCCTGAGGGTATACATGTCCGTGTTGAAGAGATGGAAGAGACGAATTTTCCTGGTAGCATGGTGTGGGTTAGCAAGGATCCGAAGGATGCGCTGCGGATTGTGGGGTTGGATTGGAGGATCTTGAATGGGGGATTCAAGACTAAGGAGGAGAGTAAGTTGTTGATCTGCGCTGTTTGTGACTTTTGCTGATGTTATATTCAGTCTACAAGTACTTGGCTAGCTCCTGGCTCTTCCACCCAGGTCACTTCGCCGCACGACTGGCCGAGGAAAAGTACCACGATCGCCTCGAAGACCGCGCGTCATACTGGACGCACTTCATTAAAGAATGGGTTCCGCAGCATTACCCTGGCTACTGTCCTATTCAGCAGACTGCAGATACCGAAGAGGATGACAGCAAAGTCATTGAGCACGTCGATCAAGACCTCTCAGTATGGCAAACCAGCACCAGAGCAGCTGTCCGCAACAAAGTCTTCACCATGTTCCCGCATGTAGCAACCGCATACTACACCAAGCGCGCCGCATGGGTCAAAGAGCGCGAAGAGCAGAGATTGCGCGAGCTTATCACCCAAGCCATTCCAACTGGTAAGAATGGATGGAGTAGCGACGTACCCGTTCCAATCATCATAGTCAAACAGCTTCAGCCGCAGACCCCCGATCTCGAACCCACAGCTACAGGCGAGCTAACACCGCCGTTGACACCACCGCTCACACCCGGCTCATCTCCCGATGCCTCGCCGATCTCACCGAGCGCTTTAGTCCCACCTCCCCTCTCCCCATCTCTATCAACCACCTCCTCCCCAAACCCAGCCCTCTACCTCTACGTCGCCCCCCTCCCCCACACACCACCCCTCCCCTTCTCCGCCTCCCCACCTCCACCCAACATGTCCGCCACAGCCAAACTGCTCTGTCTCTTCCGCTGGACACTCTTCTGCCCCTCCACCGGCACACCTTACCTCGCCACCGTGCCGCGCGACAAGGACTTTACGATGGCGTGGACAGATGCGCAGTATGCTGGTGCGACGGATGGGGTGCTTGTAAGGTGGGCGGAGGAGGTGTGGTGGAGTGTTTGGGTTAGGCAGTGCGTTGTGAATTATCGGGGGATGTGGAAGAGGAGGTTTGAGAAGGCGGGGAGGAAGGGGGTTGTGGAGGGGGGGATGGGAGGGGTTGAGGAACAAGCTGGTGTTGAGGGGAAGGAGAAGGAGGTGGTGGTAGTGGTGGGAGAGAGGGTTGAGAAGGTTAGGGGGAGGTTGGGGAGGTTGAATGAGAGTTTGGTTGGGTTGGTTTAGGTGGGTTGTATTGGAGGTCGGTGGTGAGGTGGGTATGATCATTCCCGTATATCTCTTGGATGCGGGATGAATTTGGAATTTGGAGTTTGGACGGGACTTTATTCGGGATATCCCATCTGGGTACTACATTGCTCATACGACTCTGCTTACGATGATGGCCTTTTCTCGAACATATCACATCACAGGAGTCATGGCTCCGAGGAAGCTAGAAATCTTGAAAAGGTGTTCACTTTACATTTCGCTCAGAATGAGCAAGCATGAATTCTGCAGTGAGGTTCTCCTTATCTCTTGCTCATGATCCCAATCCACAAAAGATCCGTCACAGAAGACTTCAGACGTCGATCAGCGTTCCACGTTTTCCGCACAATACAGAACCAAGCAAGACCTCCCACGCCGATGTTGAGGCTTCTTCCGCTCTAGACAGCTTGAATTCGAAATCCGAAAGGAGGCCTCAACATCGGCGTGGCCAATCCTCCAAGCTTCCCTACCATGCGAAAAAGACTGCCCATGCGGACACAAGTGACTTCAAATGTTGCAGCGCATTCGACGCATCACGCTAGTTTCCGAAGCGCCCCTTCCGATTCGGAACCCGTACCCCACACTTGATCGACACCTCCTCCGCTGTCAGCCCCTCAATAATGACGCCAGCCAGACGCTCTGGTCCCAACTCCTGCACCTGGGTAAGCTTGCAAGTACCGAAGATGAGGGGTCGTCATACATCATAGACTGGGTCTGGTTCCGTTATGGGATCAACGCGCCTTTTGTCCTTTGCAACCATTTCCCACTTCACGATAATATACGCGCATCTCGTTCTATTGTCGCGACGAACTCTTTGTATCTTGTATCTTGTATCTTTGAACCACTGAACCTTCAAAACTGCTTGTACGCGACGCGCGCAACAACCCCCAAAAATGTCCAGCTCCAAGCTGAAAGCAGTGCACTACGAGGGCCCATTCAAGGTCTCGGTCAAGGACGTCGAACTGCCCCAGATACAGCATCCGGATGATGTGATTGTCAAGGTGACGACGGCGGCGATTTGCGGGTCGGATTTGCATATGTATCAGGGACGGACGGCTGCGGAAGCGGGTCTGGTGTTTGGTCATGAGAACATGGGGACGATTATCGAGGTTGGTGCCGGCGTGACGCTTTTGGAGAAGGGGGATAGGATTGTGTTGCCGTTTGTGAGTATTCTGTGAAGATGTATTGGGGATAGTCCTGATGTGGCTCGCAGAATGTCGCCGACGGCAGGTGTCGCAATTGTGAGGAGGGCAAAACAGCGTTCTGTACTGGGTAGGTCGAGCCTCGATCGAATTGTCGACCGTCTGTCCTGACTATCAAACAGAGTAAACCCAGGCTTCGCCGGCGGAGCTTACGGCTACGTAGCCATGGGTCCGTATCAGGGCGGCCAAGCGCAATACCTCCGCGTCCCCTTCGCCGACTTCAACGCCCTCAAACTGCCCAAAGGGACCGAGCACGAAGCCGACTTCATACTGCTAGCAGATATATTTCCGACAGGCTGGCATGGGCTGGTGCTCGCTGGCTTCCAGTCCGGCGAAAGCGTCGCGGTGTTTGGCGCTGGTCCTGTTGGTCTCATGGCAGCTTATAGTGGTATCCTACGAGGCGCGAGCAAGGTCTTCGTAGTCGACACAGTGCCTGAGCGACTGCAAGCTGCGGAGAAGATCGGATGCATCCCTATCGACTTTAGGAAGAGCGACCCGGTTGAGCAGATCATCAAGCTCAATGACGGTATGGTGGATCGCGCGGTCGACGCGGTCGGGTATCAAGCCGTGGACGCGTCCGGTAGCAAGGAGAAGCCAAACGTTGTCTTGGACCAGTTGATCATGGTGACCCGGCCCACGGGAGGCTTGGGTATTCCAGGATTGTATGTTCCGGCCGACCCTGGAGCCCCAGACGAGCAGAGCAAGAAGGGCCAAATTCTGATCTCGTTCGGCAAGCTCTTCGAAAAGGTATGTTCGTGGCTCGAAGTTGTGTACCCACCACTGACGACCGTAGGGCTTGCATCTTGGCACCGGGCAGTGTAATGTGAAGGCCTACAACAGGTATCTTCGCGACATGATTGTATCGGGCAAGGCCAAGCCGAGCTTCGTCGTGTCTCACGAGATTAATATCGACGACGCGCCGACGGCATACGAGAAGTTTGACAAGAGAATCGAGGGGTATACGAAGGTGTTGATCCATCCGAACGGAGCTCTGAACTAGTTGGACGTATGAGTAATTAATCTACATTTCATTTTTGAGTAACTCACGTTCAAGCATTGAGTGTCGCGTTGATGCGCTCTGTCATGCGATCGCGTCGGTGTCTGGCTGATCCCCTTCCTCCGGCCTAGTATCGCTGCATCGCCATAGCTCCGTCGTCGACGAGGTATGCCTTGACAATCTTGACTTCCTCCACAGGGCGGTCTTCCTTGTCTGTCTTGACCAAGCCGAGCTTCTTCACGATCTGCATCCCGCTCTTGACCCTTCCAAAGATCGTGTGCTTGCCGTCCAACCACGGAGTCGGCGCCAATGTGATGAAGAATTGCGAGCCGTTGGTGTTCGGACCGGAGTTGGCCATGCTGAGGATGCCTGCACCGGTGTGCTTGAGCTGGGGGCTGATCTCGTCCTCGAACTTGTCGCCATATATGCTCTCACCTCCTCGTCCTGTACCCGTGGGATCGCCGCCTTGGATCATGAAGTTTGGTATTATGCGGTGGAAGATCAGGCCGTTGAAGTAGTTGCGCTGCGTGAGCGTCGAGAAGTTTTTGCATGTCTTGGGCGCGTGGTCGTTGTAGAGTTCGATGACAATGGTGCCCTGGTTGAATTAGTCAGGGTGTTGATCGTACAGGAATACGAACTTACAATAGTGGTGTCGAGCGCGATGTCGGTAGCCATGGTGAATGTGTAGTTGAGGGTATGAGGACTGTGATGGCAGCTTCCCCACGAGCTGGAATTCCATGTGAACTTTGGGGCACGGACCGCCGACCAGCCACGCGCCTGCGCCACAGCTACTAGCTCAGAGTGATGATTCACAGCCAACAACCTATTCTGACATTTGGCGACCACAACCTCATCAACAAGAACATGGATCTCTCAACCTGGGCATTGTCCCAGCTATCGAAGCTTGTTCCTCTAGACGATGAGTCACTGAAGCAACTGATATCATATACTGAGTCACTATCGCCCAAAGAAGCAGCGGACCATCTGCAGAATTTCTTAGGCGACAGCCCGCAAGCACTTGAGTTTATCTCTTCATTCAACAACCGGAGGAAGCCGAAGCCTTCCAGCGGCTCTGGTCAGGCTCAAGTGTCAAATGGCATGTCAGAAGTACCCAGGGCGAAGCCAAAGAAGAAGAAACCCGGTTTGAACAAACTTCCGCCACCGCGACAAGTAGAGGACCGTGGCAACGTATCTGGTGCATATCTCAAAAAAGATGAAGAAGACTACATGGCGGGTAGTTCAAAGCCCAAGGCTGCTAAATTCGGCTTACAAGAACAACCTGATGGGTTGCAATTACCAACCTTCACTACGTCATCGGGGACATCCACCCCCAAATCCCGTGGTGTCTCGCCTGCTCCGCAACCAGCAAAGAAACTACCAGGCCAGCTTATTTCTGAGACCAAACCAAAGGCCAAGGCAAAGGTCAATGTTACCGGTGGCACGCCCATGCATGGTGCCTCAACGGCACTCAATGATCTGGAGTCCGCAATCAGAGCGCTTGAGATCCAGACGAACCCTACTCTTGCCCCACAAGATAACAGCAAGCGGAAATGCAATTGCATGGCTACCAGGCATCCTTTGCTCGAAGCTGCGCCAAACTGCTTGAATTGCGGAAAGATCATCTGTGTCAAGGAAGGCATCGGCCCATGCACCTTCTGCAACTCAGCTCTGTTCAGTGCACAAGACATCCAATCCATGGTGCGAGTTCTCCGCGAAGAGCGCGGAAAAGAGAAGATGGCCGCCAACAACGCCGGCCAAAAGCGTGCCGATGTCTCGCTGGCACCACGCCCGTTCTCAACACCGCGCACAGGAACACCTGCATCTTCTAATCCGGCCTCGGACGTCGAGTCTGAGAATGAAAAACTCGCAAAAGCGAAACAGCACAGAGATAAGCTGCTCGCCTTCCAAGCCCAAAACGCCAAACGAACTCAAGTACACGACGAAGCCGCCGACTTCGAAACCACAACAGCCGGCCTCAGCATGTGGGCCAGCCCGCAAGAACGCGCCATGCAGCTCAAGCGCCAGCAAAAAGCGCTGCGCGAGCAAGACTGGAATGCGCGCCCAGAATACGAGAAGCGCAAAGTAGTCGCCAGCATCGATCTCTCGGGAAAGAAGCTTGTCAAGCGCATGGCTGCTACCGAGAGGCCGGCTACACCCGAGAGCGAAGATGAGCCACCCGAACCTACTCAACGGCCCCAAGATGGGAATACGCTATCGAGTGGTAGCGGGGCGTTCAGCAAGAATCCGCTGTTGGGTGGACTGATTAGGCCGACTATTAAGGTTCAGGAGAGTAAAGGCAAGGAGAATGCGGGTGAAGGTGGGAGGAAGCAGACGTGGCGTCGCGTGCAGGATGATAACGATGATAATGAGCAGTGGATCTTGGATGGAGGCGTTTATGGTTCGAGAGCGGATAACGTGAGCTTGGAGATGGATGGGCTGAGATGATAGGTGCCATTACCTCCCATACCGAAGTACCTACATCGATAGTGGTAAAGAGAACCAGCAAACAATATCCATTCCCAAACCAGCGCGCGAATCCATCTCAGTGAAAGCACAGCGGTTAACTTCCAACAAGTTCTCCCATCCTCTCGTTCTACCTAGGCAACTCGAATTGACAACATAGTCTGCATGACCCCCGTAGCCGAACAGCCGTACTTGTGGCGTATCAAGCATCCACTCCGGTGTCGCTATCGTACATACGCGAGAGCGAGTATAGCTCACGGGACTAGACACGATGCATCTGTACGGGCAGGTCAAGCCCGGTCAAGCCCGGTCAAGCCCATACTCCCTTGTATGTATCCAACGCGGACTTTTCTCCGCGCGAATAGGACCGAAGGGGAAAGCCGCGCGGAGGTGTATTGTGCGAGGAGCGAAGAGCGAGACAGCTAGTGAAGAAAGTCCCGAGGTCCTCAGGTCATGTCCGTGTCGTGTATGCCCTCTCCTTACATACGGAATCGCCGCACCACACCATCTCACCATTACCAACCCACCGTCCCCCGCCGATCCCCGTTTGTCCCATGCCCATGAACCTTTCCCCATCCCCAGGTTTTCGAAGCGCCCGGGCAGATCGACAAACCTCGCCAAAAGCTTGTTCAGCCGCTTCTTTGCTTGTTGCGACAAGCTCGACCAAGCAATTGCGGGGTACATGTGCGCTAACACTTTGTCTAACCCCATTCAACACTTGCCCCGGTGTCCCATGGACATGGTACGGAAGGAAGTGATAGGCTAGCTGGTTAACGTGGCGGAAGCTGGGGGTGACAGCTGGGCGTGTGGGAAAGTTGGGAAAGTTGGGAAAGTTACCGCGGATGTGGTGGGAGAGGCGAATCTGGATGCGCGGATGGGGATGGTGGGTGGATGGGCTAGACCGTGGACTTGGGGCTAGTGTGAAGGAGGATAATGGAGGGAAATGGAGGAAGAGGGACGATGTGAGGACTAGTTGGATGTTAGGTGGGAAATACCCCGCAGACTGAGTCGTGGGTGGGGGATGTGATGGACGGCCCTGGTAGGGGGCGTGGTGAAGGCAAGGGTGGGTTCCAATTACATGGATAGCATAAGAGCCCCGCTGAGCCTCCAAACGAAAGTTGTTCGCAGGACTGACAGTTTCATTTACCTTGTTGAAGCTCTGAATCCCTGTCTACGAAGGCTTTTCCATACGTAGACCATGAAGAACACGATGCGAGACCACAGCGATGGCTCTGGTACGCAATCTTACATCTCAACTTCACATCCACCTACACATGTACTTACCCAATTCAACAACAGATGTCTCAGACCACTCCCCCTCAGCCTCCAAACCAGCGTTCAACCACATCGAGCAAATCCACACCAACGAGCAAGTCCCCGGACACACCAACTACTACGAAAAAGATGGCTTGCGGACAGCCGGCGACGGCGAGGACCACGATGCCGAGCAACCTATGAACTTTAAGAGACTTATGGCGTTGGTCGCTATGGCTTTCCGTGCGTATAGCCCTTCCCAGACGACTGATACACAACGGAGTTCCCTCGCTAACATCAAGAATAGTATGGACAGGCAGCCAAATCCCCGTCTACCTCTTCGGCGGCGTCCCCCCCTACATCTACGCCGACATAGGCGGCACCGACCGCTGGATCTGGTTTATCCTCGCGAACCTCCTCTCCCTCGCCGCCGTGTGCCCCTTCGTCGGTTCCATCTCCGACATCGTGGGCCGCAGGTGGGTCGCCATGATCGGCGCGTGTTTCCTCATTCTCGGCATGATTATCTGCTCAACCGCACGTTCCATGAATATCTTCATTGCAGGAATGGTGTTTAGCGGTGTGGGCGCGGGCATCAACGAGCTTACGGCGTTGGCGGTGACGAGTGAGCTTGCGCCGACGAGTCAGAGGGGCAAGTATGTTGCTATTTTGGTGTTTACGATTTTGCCGTTTTGTCCGAGTGTGCTTTGGGCGCAGCTTATTGCTAGTCAGAGTCCCGGGGCTTGGAGGTGGATTGGGATGTGGTGTGGTAAGAACTTTTCCCTGTTATCTAAACGACGCATGAGAGGGGAAACTGACGATCTTAGGTCTCTGGGCTTTCATCGGCCTCGTCTTGACGTTCGTGTTCTACCACCCTCCTCCCCGCGTCAACAGCGTGGGTATGAGCCGCAGAGAGGTTCTCGCGCAGATCGACTATATCGGCGGTTTCCTGTCTGTTGCCGGTATGATCTTGTTCATGATGGGTATGCAGTGGGGTGGCTACCAGTACAAGTGGTCCAGCGCACACGTGCTCGCGCCCTTGATCCTGGGTGTCGCTTTCCTCGTCGCCTTTGTCTTCTGGGAAGCTTACGGAGCCAAACATCCCATGTTCCCCAAGCGACTTCGTCAGGAGCCCCGGATTCTTGGGCTGACACTTGTTATTACGTTCATCTCTGGAGCCAACTTCTTCTCTATCCTTATGTTCTGGCCGACGCAAGCGTTCAATGTTTATGGGCATGATCCTATTGGTGTTGGTATCAGAGGTATTCCTGTTGGGTTCTCGATTCTGG